TAAGATGGGTTAACTAAAAATTAAATTGGATTTAATGTATCTATCACTGCATGCAGGAATAGAAAACCTGTTTAAAATACTGCAGGTATAGAAAACCTACTAAAAACAAAGTCCTAGAGCACACAAATTTGGTCAATAGATGCTCTGAAACACAATGTATCCGTTGTTTACCCCCTGACGATAATAAACACCAAATTTTGAAATCCTGTTCCAGCAAAATGAATTGCTGAATCGCGTCCAGCACAACTACCTTTAACTGAAAAATCAGTAATATGAAATATTTTGCTGAACGTTCCAGTAAACTGTATGAAACTTCAAAATCAGGCCAAAATCTATCATTTGCTCCTCCTCGATTTATGATTATTTTTATGTTCAAGAACTAACAAAATATCATGGAAATTATATAAAAAGAGCTTTTGTCATGAAGTAAGTAATACTAAACTCCTTAGTAACCTGAATTAAGTTGAAAAACTTTCGTTTTTCTCTGAAATTTACAGTTTTCTTCTTTCGTAAACTTACCCAGGAACAATAACAACAACAATAACTCACCCAGGATGGCCCATTAGACTGATGCAAATTTTGACATTTTCGCTCCACAGTGCTCAAACGGTTCCAAATCGGGTCCTGGTTAGTCTCCTAAAATTTGAACTCATTTGATAAGAAACTGACTTCGCACAAACCATTTGAAGTTTATATGGAAATTCCTATAGGAAAACCAAATGTTTTGTTCATATCCATCTAACAATTTACCATATCGCTCTGCTTTCAAAAATGATAACTGAGCTCGTAGAAAATTTTCTCAGCTACAACATTGTCCTGAACCACTTTTCAATGTAATGTAAGCATCAAAAGTTATCAATAATTCAAGCCACTAATGTCTTACGATTAGGCTCAATCAACTGTTCAGCAGGCAACATTGGTGTTTCTGGCGCTTGGAATAGAGCACAAAAATCATGGCTACTATGTCACACTGCGAGATACAGTGTTGCTCACAAAACAACTGCTTGATCATGCCATAAGATTATCAATCTCTTAAACAATTAATAACTATTTTATTTTACGTTTGGCTCAACAACTATCTTCTGCTAAGTTGAAGCTGAGAAAATTTTCCATAAGTATGGCTTTTGAATTTTTGAACAGTGCCATATGGAAAAAGGTAAGAAGACAATGAACAAAAAGTTTGGATTTCCCATAGTAATTCCCATATAAACTTCAAATGGTTTGTGCCAAGTCAGTTTCTTTTCAAATGAGTTCAAATTTTGGGAGACTAATCAGGACCCGATTTGGAACCGTTTGAGCACTGTGGAGCGAAAATGTCAAAATTTGCATCAGTCTAATGGCCCATCATAGCTTCTTCAGGACATGATTTTTTAATAAGTGCAGTCACATGAATTCTTTAAGAAGTGCAATCATATTTAATAAATTACTATTTACAACTACATGGAAGTGTAATAAAATATTTATTCCAACAATGAGATGCCTCTTTCTCAAAAAAGAAATAACAGTCGAGACTTGCTGCTCTTTCAGCAAAATGACTGATCTTCCGTTTTGCTGGATAATCAGTAAAGTGCTGTCAATTTGGCAGTGGACTAAAGTGCTGGTCGTCCAGCAAAAATATTTTGCTGGATGGATTGCTGAACTTTAAGCTCGGAAAAATCCAGCAAAATATTGCTGATTTCCAGCGATAAAAAATGAGTGTGGAGGTTCAAGTATTGCCGAAGCCGTCATTTACCGAATAAAAAAACACTTAGATGGGGGAAATGGCTCTATTGTCGGCCTTTGGATTTAAGATTGGGTTCATCGCTAAAATTCAGCTATTTATCAATTTTATCTAGTTGAACGCATCATTGGGACGGTACCAATGGATATTTGTGGTAGCTATTGAAGATTTAGTCGATTGCTGAATTTATGTATGGGCCAAAATTAGGGCATTTAGGCCGACATTACATCCATTTCACCTATATATCATAACAATAAGCGTGGTAAGTTACTGTAGTAGCTGGAGCACCTAGGATAAAAATTGAATGTAACCGTCCCCTTCATTTTGTGGCAGTCGTCCCGGATACGTAGGCAATCGTTAGTGAGATGGAAATCGGTCGAGACTGCGAAAAAAAAAATGGTTTTCTCGGTATTTGTATAGCTTCATACATTATGCATACACACTTAAATAGAAGAACTCATGTAAATTTAGGTGCTCTGAGAGGGGCATATACGAGCGTCAATTTTGACATAAATTTGAGTCATAACAGACGCGAAATATAGCGTAATCAAACGTACTTTTCGCCGAGAAACGAACTGTTCAGTCTCGAAGCACCTAATATTACATGACATGTTTGTTTACGTCTCATCTTTTATGTCAAAGAAGGATTCCGTCACTTGTAAAATTAGTTATTTCTAAGTGTGTAGCATTCATCGTCGTTGGTAATGGTTTGTTGTAATATAAGGGGTTCGGTTGTCTAGTCCAACCTTTTTTGCTTGTTGAGTAGAAGACCGTGGGTTTTATCCCAGGATTCTTTACATTACTGAGTTGACAGGGTTGCATCATTTGCCTACTAGTAATCAAAAGATTGCATGTTTTATCTGCGTCAATTTTGGAAAACAATACATTATATTGAAATTTCGATCGCATCACTGAATTCTGATACAACGAACCGAACCTACTATCAATATCTCCTCTCCAGTGAGCTGTTTTGGGATGCAGAGGTAGGTGTTGAAACAGTTGACGTTTTTACTACACTCGCTTCGTTGTCGTCGTCTCTTTCACACAACAGAAACGGTAGAATAAAATTCGAGCAAAAAGAAAATTATCAAATAACTATCATATGACATGAGTGATTTTATTCTAATTCCTCTATTTGGTGTCAATTAAATCATTTCTGATCAGAAATGTTATTCCTAGGACACCATTGCTTGCTATTTTCAGAATTCACACAAGCACAACATAAGCAGCTCTTATTATGAGAAAAACTAAAATACATACATTCGTGACGGTCTTCGGTGACAGTGTTGTAGGACACAACCTGTCAAATGACATTTGAGTTTGGTACTATATGACAGCTTGTTTTGCAAGTGTCGAAGGCAAAGGCAGTCGATTATCACAGAAAATGTGTCGACTACCGTGACCGCTTACAAGACTGTGCATAGGTATACTCGGTCTCTAATACAGCAAAGGTCACGCTAATATTCCTTGCAATGACGGGACCGGCGTGAGTAGTCTAAAACTTGTACATTGAGAACGGACGGTCACAACCAGCCCCATTCAGTTGATTAATTATGCAATTTCACTGATTTTGATCAATCACGGCGTAGCAATATAGAGAGAGCTGTACCTAAAAAAAAACGTCACGTGTTAGGGCAATCGTATATTCTAGACATTAACTCAAGAGACCATAAGAATGTAAAATATGGTAAAGATTTTCTCTACTAGAAAGTCGTGTTGAACAGAGATATTGCTCGAAATGTGTTGAAAAGTTTAGTTTTGAATCACTTGAAGATTAGTGAACTTTAAATCTATTTTAAATAATCAGACAGTTCATTGAAAAAATTGTTTAGTTCTAAATCACATTGTACAACTGACGCTCAACTCCATCCTAGCAAAATGGTTGCATGTTGACTTTTTATTTTATCCTAAATGGTTCAAATCCCACAGCCTACTGAGAGTGAGACGATTGGCCAATTTTGAATGTCTAAATTTTGCTAATTTTTTTCAAATTTTAATGCAGAAACCTATTATTTAACCTTCTACTTCCAATGGTACAAACTACAAAAATTTCATGTAAATTTCGATTCCTTGAGACCGACACATGTAAGCGGCCCTTTTGACATAAGAATCAGTTGAAAGAAACGAGAAAATAAATTCAATGAAACGTTCTCTTCGTCGATTTGCTTATGTTTCGGTTTGAGGACACTTAATTTTACATGAAATGTTTGTTTACGTTCCATGATTTACGTCCAATATAGATTACGTATCGTGTAAAATTAGTAATTTATAAGTGTGTAGCACAGGCGATGCACAACTTTACGGCCCTTCTCATGATTGTCAATCGATCTCGCTTTAATTTAAGCTTCTTTGTGTGCTCATTATTAGTGAGAATTCAATGGTGCAACTATTGAAAAACAATGGTTTTTAGCATTTTTTAAAATAAATTCAATAAATTAAAGTTGTATGCAACAAATTTTGTTCTAGCATATTTTTTTTCAAAAACGTATTTTTTTCAAAGCTTTCTATTTATTGAAATAACGAAAAAGTAACACAATGCATGCTCTAAATGGAAAACTGAAGCAGCTGATTTTAATTCATAGCTACCGTAATCTTTCAGTTTTGATCTCACTATTACTGACAGCTTAGCGCCACCTTCCCAAGGGCAAAAGGTTATTAAAAAAATAATGCATGGTAATTTCAACAATTGCTATAAAAAATAAAAGCTGCCACGTCCTATTTTTTTTTCTCAAAAAAGCTTCACATTTGGTATTTTTTTTTTAAATTTCTTCATACAAAATATAACGCCACAGCATTTTTTTACAAGCGACTGTTGTGGACATCTGGCTACTATCCCGATAAGAAATGGACAGGGAACAGCCATGATTATTACATCATGAATAAAAATAACTGAGAATTTCGATAAATAGATGTATTGCACTATGATTTGAAACCACTTTCAGTAGCACCTGTTACTTCACTTTATGCATGATCATTTAGCATTATGATGATCGAATAAGTATCAACGAAAGGATACGGCTTTTGAAGCTCAATCTTCTCAAAGATTGCACCATTCGTTCTGTTGCTAAAATCTCAAAAAAATGTTCCCAGTTTTAGCAACATATAGTCCAAAATGCAATAACCTCCATTCACTTGTTTTCACTAACTCCAGTGCGGCATCTCTCATACACTCGACATACATTACTCCTAGGTTATTTTGCCAGTCTATCAGTAAACCACATTAACTTTCTGGCACATTATCATACGATCCACACAAAGCAAAAAGCTCCTCTTTACTTACCTAGCATTTCGGCTAAGCAGATTAGTTTTGGGGTCTCGTTTGAGCACGAATGGCAACCGATTTGACACCACGATGATGCTGCTCTTGGTGTTTGCCTCCTGTGGGCTCGTAACAGTGATCTCACAGTTGGAGGACATCTTCTGTTTTGTTTTTTTTCTGTTGCACTATGGGGTGAGCTGTGCAATCCGACTAAGAACTATTACTTATAACACACAGACAAAATATCCGACGATCACTTTGGTCCAATCGTTGTTTGGGCTTGGATTATCACATTCGTTAAGAGAGACGCATAATTTGCACGCGTGATGCAAAATTGTACCGGATTTATCACTGACAGAACGGATTTTTTTCTTCTTGTAAAAATCTGCACAATACACGAATCAATAAAATAAAGAGCCGGAGTCCTAGGAGATAAGACTTCGGACGATCTATGAATTGCCTGCCCACGAGAGGATGCTGCCTCTGAAGCAGTTGAGATTCAACTGACTTCCGACTGTGTGCTCCGAGAGCTGATAAAGGAGTCTTTTCCAGTACAGTAGGTGTTATTGTTTTTCATTTTTTGTTTCCACCAACCGTTGTTATTGACTAACGGCGACCGACCTGCTGCAATCAGCTATTGGGTTGACTGAGATTCATCCCATAGCGGTTAGATGAGCATTCCGTAATGCGATCGTGTACGTCTACGCGATGGGCGTACACACTTACAATCCGCACACAGGTGCAACACAGTGGTGTATCGATGGAACAATATTTACGAACCACACGGGTCATGTTTTGGCCGCCATCGTTTCGTTAGGGACACTCTGTGCGTTGGAAACTCTCGTGCGCTAGCTGGCTGGCTGCTCATCACCGGAGTCGTTAAAAGTCATGTTTACTGGGCTTATCTCGACCACTCGTTCTTGATAACAAATGCCGTGATTGTGTTGTTTGATTCGCGCGGTGCTATATGGATGGATTTATAGTTTCGAACCTTGTGGCACGCTCAATCTTAATCGAATTCGGGGACGGTGCTCGTGGATGGCTTACTGTGGACATTGTTTCTAGAATTAACGATGTAGTTTACGGTGATGATCTAAAAATAAAGCGTGGACTATGGTGAAATCTTCCACGTCTGCTTGGGAATTGTTGAGTCCTGAGTTAAGCGCGCCAAACAGTTATCTAAGGTAATTGGTTGTATGGCATATTCCGTGAAGAACCTACTCCGCAGTATAAAACCGTTCAAATAAAAACATTCCACTTTTAGGAATATATTATGAACATGGGAATTCCGCAGTTGGTTCACGAGTCTGCAGTGACCGATTATGTGAAGCAAGTCTGGTGAACTTAAATGACAGCTCAAATCTAGCAGCAAACTTCGGGGACATGTTCAGGGCATTGAAGGAGCAGTTCCTGATGATATTTAGGGTAATGGTAATGGTTTTCCGGGGCTACTAGGGATGCAGTCATGATAACTGGTGTAACATCGTATGAATAAGAGGTTTCAAATTAATGATTCGACCCAACGACTATAACTAAAATCAGTGGCGTCCCGTAACCTCACTTTTTACCTGTGTACCAACTTTCAAAACCAGATTTAATGCCATATTTATACTCGAATGGGTTGAAAAATACACCCAATTCTTCTAGTTTACTCGATATCTATCCATTGCAAGCAATATTTTGATAATTGTGAATGTTTTGAGAGTTGGTGCACAGGTAGATCGAGGTTAAGGAAACGCCTTCTGTTATCCTGTATATCACAATTGTTGCAAGCAGGGGTTGAAACAGTTTTTTACTACACTAGTTTCGGCAGTCATTGGTTTGAATTGAGTATGGATTGGATATTATGAGGGATTCATCATCAGAGGATGTTAGTGGAGACCGCATGAACCGAGGATGCGATATACCTAGCTGCGGTCCAATGCAAGAAAATTGGAGACCGAAAAATTTAGAGTGTATTAGTGAGGTAAATTAGTTATGTCGAAAAAAAAATAGAAATCCGATTGCCGACTGGACTCGAACCAAGAACGCTTCGATTATCAGACCTGTGCTTTCTCCACTGCTCTCTCCATGCTTCTGAATATGGATAGCCTAAAAGCAAACATGAAGCGCTCATTTTCTCGCATACTCGACTTCGTATGCTGTTTTCTGCTGGAGAGATTCGAGGCAAGTGTGTGCGTCGTTCTACAAGCTTACTGGTATAGTCGAAAGCGTAGATAGAACATGAAATGAAAAAGACAAAAAACCATTACATCGCCTGTAAGGTCAACTTCTAACATTCGCTGCGATGTTCATGAACAGAGGATGATAGGAAACGGAACTAACATTCATTGTTATAGATTTTTGGTTTGCGTGTAGTACATTGCGGAAGACATTGTAATCAGCGATACGATAGGCTTGGGTTATGTCTTTGGGGTCACGTACTTCTGAGTCGATCAGATGGCCTGCTTCGATGATGTTGTTTTTAGGGTGGGATTAAACTTTCGTCCGTTCGAGTTTTTGTTTGGATTTTGTCGGGGAGTATTTAACAGGCAGTTAGAGGAAATTTCGTCCACCATCAATCAGGTTACACCTTTGTTTCTGCACACGTTTCTTTTGGACATAATGAATTTGCTAGAACACAGAACAGGATGGCATCGAGTTCCTCTTCCACTGCCCGCTTCGCTTACGTTCAAATGCAAATGTAGCTTAATGTTTGCCAGAAATCATAAAAGAAAATGAAAACACAATCACAAAAGTAATTATAACTTCAGCGTTGCGAAACTCATAGGATATTGACACCTTGATTGGTACACTTCAGCCTACTTTGGCGCGTTTGGCACGTTCGGCACAGATTAGTGTGAGCAGAGTTGAAAACCCCTTGTCCAACTGCCTACAGCCGCAGAAGAAAGCTGCTGCTGATGTTGCAATCGCTGGAACGGGCTCACGTTATAGAGCTGTTCTCTCATTTCCAGTGCACTACCGATTGCTCTAGTTTTGATGTTTTTACTGCTACTGATGGTGTACTGCGCGGAGTCATTTGAAATGGTTGTAAAAGAAAGCCAACTAGTGCAGGCTGTTAATAAAAATCTAACGATCAGGACCAACACCAAGTCTTACGTTCCTTGAACAGCTTCGTTCGAAAGATATATTATTAGGATCAACACTCAACATTATATCAATTTATTTAATTTAAATTGTAAAGGAATAAATCAAGTGTATCTTTAAAGCTGGTTAAATTTATTGAAACCAATGAAAAAGTCCAATTCATTTATTGCAATAATCACAAATGTTTGTAAACAACGTCATAAAAGACTTCAAAATAAACGAGTCTGAGGGAAACTAGCACATTCGTCAGGATTCCCCATTTTAAAGCTTATCCCGACCATCAATCAAGCAATTCATCATTTTGTCAAACTTCTGCATTCTTGTTCCATAAGATGTAACTGCTGTTTTTTTGCGGTGACATCTATCGGAAACTACACATACTCTGTTTTCCTATAATTGTTCATAGAGAACACGGCAGTGCAAAACATGTCTGGTACCTCTATATATGCATTTAGATTATTATTCGAAGTCCCTCATTTTTTACACATTCTGCACAAAAAATAGCACACCCCTCACAGAATTTCCCGCCGATTTTTAGTATCTTTTGCGCAGAATATGTAAAAAAAGAAGGGACTTCAAATGCTACAGTAAATGCATATATAGAGATACCAGACATGTTTTTTTAGTGTCAGGTACTCTATTTTGTAATCTGTGAAAGGGAAATCACAAATCGAGTGTCATCAAAATACATGGCATGTTGAGTAATTGAACTAGGGAGAGCAAATTTTCTCTCTCAAATTTGATTTTTTTGGCTCTTTGTGGACTGGTAGTAAAGCAGGTAAAACTGTATGGGGAAAAAGCATTTTTATTTAATTGTAGCTTGTTTAACAATAATTACCGGGAAAAACTGAACGACAAAGTCCCTGACTTATTTCTTTAGGTTGTCGTTCACTTTTTTTGACCTGAATATGAACCGAAAGTGAATTATTCCCACTTCTCTTAAATTCTATATGGGGATTTTTATCACTTCCTACCAGCGAAACAGCGCCATCTCTGTGGAAATGGCCGGACGATATTATTAATTGTTACCAATAATGAGAAGGTCACGAACGAGTTCTCAATTTTGTTCTGGAACAAAGGCGCTAATTTGTGAGCGGTGTTGAGAGGAAAATGCAAGAAAATGCATGTTTTACAAGCAAATTTGTAAAAGAAGAGAGAAGGATTATCAATTTCCATTTAATTCCACTACCTTATTTGCTTATTTCGTCTACAATGTGCAATCGAGTATTAGTACAAGACACTGCAGAAGTTTGCACATTGTAGATGAAATACGCGTATCTGTCAAGGATAAGCAAATAAGGTAGTGGAATTAAATGTAAATTACTAATCCTTCTCCCTCTCTCGCAACGGGACGTCAAAATCGTCATCGGCGACATGAACGCTCAGGTAGGACGGGAGGCAATGTATAGACCGACAATCGGGCCAAACAGCCTGCATGCCGTATCGAACGACAACGGCCAACGATGTGTGAACTTTGCAGCCTCTCGAGAAATAGTAGTTCGAAGTACCTTTTTCCCCCGCAAGGATGTCCACAAAGCCACCTGGAGATCACCTGACCAACACACAGAAAACCAAATCGATCACGTTCTAATCGACGGGAAATTCTTCTACCGCAGTACGAACATAGATTCGGACCACTACCTAGTTGCAGTATGCATGCGCTCAAAACTCTCGACGGTGCATAACACCCGTCGAAGTCGAACGCCGCGACCCAACATTGTGCAATTACGGAGTTGCCCAGGATTACGCGCAGCAGGTGGAAGTTGCAGCTTCTCTTGAAGATGGCTGGAGGGATATCCGTTCCGCCATAGGTAGTACTGCTGTAGCGGCACTAGGTACTGCAATCCCGGACCGAAGAAATGACTGGTTTGACGGCGAATGCAAACTGATAGTAGAGGAGAAGAATGCAGCACGGGCGAGAATGCAGCAACACCGCACGAGATTGAATGTGGAGCGATACAGACAAGCGTGGAACAGACAAAACTCGGTATTCCGAAGGAAGAAGCGTCAGTTCCCGAGATCGCGAGGCGATGGAAAATCTGTACCGCGTAAACGACATGGAAGTTCTACGAGAAGCTAAATAGTTCGCGCAAAGGCTGTGCCGCAAGCCGATATGTGCAAGGACTTGGACGGTAACCTTCTAACGAACGAGTGTGAGGTGATTGAGAGGTGGAAGCAGTACTATGACGAGCACATCAACGGTGAAGCAGCAGAAAACGAAGGTGGCACTGCAACATACCTTGAGCACGTGCAGAAGACGACAGGCTAGGCCCCTGATCTTCAAGAAGTTGGTTAGGATATCGGTCGGCTGAAGAACAACAAAACAACTGGTGTAGATCAACTACCAAGTGAGCTATTAAAATACGGTGGTGAAGCATTGGCTAGAGCGCTGCACTGGGTAATTGCCAGGATTTGGGAGGAGGAGATATTACCGGAGGAGTGGATG